CAACCCCACACCAGCTTAGTTCCAACAGTTGCCCAGTTCATGAAAAGCCTTCTAATTTAGTTTATTTGGAATAACTGTACTTATTTTGCTTTACTCTTGTGGAATATATTGCTGTTATATTCTTTGTGTAGGAATATAGGACAAGCTTACTGAATGTTTTCTTAAACACCTATTAATCTTCCAGATATCACCTTTTGTCGAAACTCAAGAGTTATGAGTGGACCTTACTATACTGGTGCTTTCTGACTGAGCTCCTCTCTACCTTGAATGCAAGAAACCCTCACGGTTAGGCAGGAATATCATAGGCCCTATTCAGTCTGAGGAAGTTACAGAAGATGGATCTTCATCAGCGGTGTATGAACCAGAGCAACTCCATTTTAAATAGGAGCTGGGTGAAATGAGACTGAAACTTACTAGGCTGCATTCCCAGACAGTTAAGGCATTCTAAGTCACAGGAAGAGATAGGAAGTCAGCACAAAATACAGGTCATAACGACCTTGCTGATAAAACAGGTTGCAGTTAAGGAGCGAGCCAAAACCCACCAATACCAAAATGGCAATGAGAATGACCTCTGGTCATCCTCACTGCTACATTCCCATCGGCACTATGATAGTTTACAAATGCCATGGCACTGTCAGGAAGTTACTCTATATGGTCTAAAAAAGGGGGGGCATGAATAATCCACCCCTTGTTTAGCATATCAACAAGAAATAACCATAAAAGTGGGCAACAGCACCGCTTGAGGCTGCGCTATCTATGGAGTAGCCATTCTTTTATTCCTTTACTTTGTTAACTTGCTTTCACTTTGGGAAAAAAAAAAAAAAAAACAAGTGCAGAAACATACATACATGAGTACAACCCTTAATTAGAAGAAAATAATCTTACATACTTAACATTATTACCATTTTTGGTGCTCTTAATTCCTTTGTTTAGATCAAAATTTCTACCTGTTTTTATTTTCCTTCTATAAGAAAGATGTCTCTTAACATTTCTTATAATGTGATATACTGGGCACTGTTCTTTTTTGTTTTTCTTTTTTATTGTACTTTAAGTTCTGGCATACATGTGCAAAATATGCAGGTTTGTTACATGGGTATACATATGCCATGGTAGTTTACTGCACCTATCAACCCATCATCTCGGCTGTAAGCTCCATATGCATTACGTATTTGTCCTAATGCTCTCCCTCCCCTTGGATGTGGTTTTTGTGTAGTGGTCCTTTATGTTGGTGTTAATGTTATTGCTTTCTCTTTGTTACCTTTTCTTCTAACAGTCAGGCCTCTCTCCTGTAGATCTGCTGCAGTTTTCTGGAGGTCCGCTGAAGACCCTATTTGCCTGGGTATCACCAGTAGAGGCTGCAGAACAGCAAAGATTGCTGCCTGCTCCTTCTTCTGGAAGCTTTGTCCCAGAGGGGCAGCGGCCTGATGCCAGCCAGAACTCTCCTGTACGAGATGTCAATTGACCCCTGCTGGGAGGTCTCTGCCAGTCAGGAGGCAGGGGGGGTCAGGGATCCACTTGAGGAGGCAGTCTGTCCCCTAGCAGAGCTCGAGCGCTGCGCTGCAAAACCTTTTCAGGATGCACTGCTCTCTTCAGAGCTGGCAGGCAAGAACGTTTAAGTCCACTGAAGCTGTGCCCACAGCTGCCCCTTCCCTGAGGTGCTCTGTCCCAGGGAGATGAGAGTTTTATCTATAAGACCCTGACTGGGGCTGTTAACTTTCTTTCACAGATGCCCTCCCTGCCCAGTGAGGAAGAATCTAGAGAGGCAGTCTGGCCACAGCCACTTTGCCGCCCTGTGGTGAGTTACACCCAGTCTGAACTTCCCAGCTTCCTTAACACTGTCAGGGGAAAATTACCTACTCAAGCCTCAGTAATGGTGGATGCCCCTTGCCCCACCAAGCTCCATTGTCCCAGGTTGACTTCAGACTGCTGTGCTGGCAGTGACACATTCAAGCCAGTGTTTCATAGCTTCTTGGGCTCCATGGGAGTGGGACCCACTGAGTGACACTACTTGGCTCCCTGGCTTCAGACTCCTTTCCAGGGGAGTGAAGGGTTCTGTCACGCTGAGGTTCCAGGTGCCACTGGGGTACGAAATAAAATAAATAAATAAATGAATAAATAAATAAAACTCCTGCAGCTAGCTCAGTGTCTGCCCAAACAGCTGCTCAGTTTCGTGTTTGAAACCCAGGGCACTGATGGTGTTAGCACGTGAGGGAATCTCCTGGTCTGTGGACTGCAAAAACCGTGGGAGAAGCATAGTATCTGGGCAGTACAGCACAGTCCCTCATGGCTTCCCTTGGCTGGGAGAGGGAGAACCCTCACTCCTTGCACTTCCCAGGTGGAGCAATGCCCCACCCTGCTTCTGCTCGCCCTCCAGGGGCTGCACTCACTGCCTAACCAGTCTCAGTGAGATGAACTCAGTACCTCAGATGGAAATGCAGAAGTCCCCTGCCTTCCGTGTTGGTCTCGCTGGGAGCTGCAGACCGCAGCTGTTCCTATTTGGCCATCTTGCCAGATCCCCACCAACCATCCCATATAAATTTGAAAATAGTTTTTTTTTTTTTCTAAATCTGTGAAGAATGTCATTGGTGGTTTAGTAGGAATATCATTGAGTGCATAAATTGCTTTGGTCAGTTTGGCCATTTTGACAATTTTGTTTTTCCTGTTCATGAGCATGGAATGTTTTTCCATTTGTTTGTGTCATCTCTGATTTCTTTGAGTAGTGTTTTGTAGTTCTCATAGAAGAGATTTTTCTCCTCCCTAGCTAGCTGTATTCATAGGTATTTTATTCTTTTTGTGGCATTTGTGAATGCGATTGTGTTTCTGAATTGACTTTGAGCTTAGAAGGTTGTTGGTATATAGAAATACTCCTGGGTTTTGTACATTCATTTTGTATCCTGAAACTTTCTTGAAGTTGTTTATCAGATCAAGGAGCTTATGGGCAGAGAGTCTGGGATTGTCTAGGTATAGAATCATATTGTTTGCAAACAGAGATTGTTTGACTTCTGTGAAAAACATAGTGGGGTGAAAGCAATCACCTGTCAGCAATGGAATGGAACAATAAAAGTGCCCAAGAATAAATTTAATTTGAATGTGAAGAACGAATATGAAGTAAATAACAATCATTGCGAGGGATACGTAAAAATTGAGTAGTGGCTTTTTCTTGGATAGAGAGATTCTAAAATAGAAAGATAGTTATTGTCCCTAAGATGTAATTTAAAAATAATAGCTAGTATCTCAACAGGAATATTTTAGCACCTGATCAAACGGTTCTGAAGTTCATCTGAAAGACGAATGTGTCAGAATAGATAGAAAAAGAGAAAGGAATGAGGGAGGGCAAGCATTATTTGACATTTCAAATATAATCAAGCTACAGCAATTAAAAAATATAGTAGTGGTGCAGTTATAAACAATTCAGTAGAAGAAAATTAAAAGTAGAGAGTTACACACCAAATTGAGTAGGGATGTAGGTGACGATAAAAGAGCCATTTCAAAACACTGAGTGAAACAGGGATTCAACAAAAATGTTGAGTCCCTATCACATTAATTTTGTTCAGATGGATCAATGATTTTGAATGTACAATAATGCAACCAAAAACTATGAATGTCTTATCGTATTGGAGTGGGTAAGTTCATTGCAAACATGACAGCAGACTCATGAAGGAGGCAAGAAAATGATTTATGATAGCAGATATAAAATACGTATTAAAATATTTAATATTTATTTCTATGATGATGAATTTTTCTGAAACACATTCTTCCCTTAGAGTAACCTGGGGCTCATATTCTCCAAAGCCATTGGAAGTGGAAGAAAGGTTGGGCAGGGGGAAAAAGAAAAATGTTTTGTAAGTTCAGTTTTGGTGTCAGGAGAGCTTGTAGTCTAGGTTCTCCACAGAGGCAGGAAAACTTCAGTCACGTGGTGAATGCCTCACTCAGTGCACACGCTACACAGATCTGTTGCTGTGGATTTCTGTTGCTACGCGTGACTGTTGTTACGCATGCGCCTTGTTGCCTACCTTCTGTTCACACAGAGCTTTGCGAGGAGAGGCTGAGTTTTCTTTCTTTCCACCATTTTGATTGTTTCTCACTGACTGAGGCTCAGCAGGTAGGTCCTCAGAGCGGTCTTCCTGGGAATTTAGTTGTGAGTGAATGTGAGGAGGAGCCGGCAGGCTTTGAACAGGTCCTGCGGCATGGTCTGTGGCTTCTGAGTGAAAGGGGGTCGTCCGGTTCCTCCCAAGTCGCGACGCTGCTATGGGTCTTGACATAGTGGCTGGGCTGGAAGGTGGGCCACGGAGGGGAGGGATCACGTGAAGGTGGGGCGAGTGCTGGGGGTGCTGTTAGAGGTATCTGAGTCCCCAAAACTGGAACCATCGGAGAGAGGACAGTTTCCAGACTCCTCGGTAGGGATGAGGGAAGGACGGCGTGGTCCATAAGGAAGGGGCCTGGGAACTGGGAACGCTGTGCGCTGGTGACTGCGGCCTGAGGTCTGTAGAGTGCCTGGCAGAGGTGTCCATTGAGGAGCATAACATTCACTCTGTTTAATGATTTCTCACCTCCGCCGTGGACGTCATGGGAAGGAATGGGTGAGGCTGTGCGTTCCAACAAAACTTGATTTTGGTAGGGGGTATGTAGGGGGGGAAATGGGCCTAGTAAATCAAAGTGGGACGAAAGCAGTAGTCATTTCGGTTTGAATTCTCTGTCCGTGTTTTCCTAAATGTCTTCATGATGGAGAGTGTGATTGTGAAACCAAAACTCAGAATCTAAGTCCTCTGTGTTTTGCTATGGAGTTAAGGTGATTTCTGTGCCTCTTCGACTATGACACAAACAAATCTGTCCATAGTTTGATTGGAAAACATGCGTACTTATCATTGCTCTGTGAATTATTTTGCAAATATTTTCAAAATTAAAAAAGTACAAATCACCATTTTGCCATGGAATATTCATATATATAGCTAAGCTACACACTTTTTTCAAATAACAATATTCTATTTTCAGTGGGAAATATGAGTGAGCATGTAAGAACAAGATCCCAATCCTCAGAAAGAGGAAATGTCCGAGAGTCTTCCCAGTCGGTTGAATCTGTGATTGTGAGTCCTTTAACATTTGATGTTTTCTATTAACACAGTTTATTTTTAAAAATATTTTTGAGCTAGTGTACATGCACTGATACAGATGTTCCATGCTGATAAAAAATGATGATTGCATCTCATGAAGGAAACTTTGGTTCAGGAATATTATATTCTGGTGTTACCTGTATGAATATGGATATTTCTCTCTCTTTCTCCCCCCATATATATTTATGTCTTTAGATTTATGAATCGATGCACATATGCATTTGTGTATTTATGTTACTGACTTTTTATTCGCACACACACTTACACCCTTAGGTCCAGCAGCCCGCTGAGGAAAAACGTCAAGAAGAGGAACCACCAAATGAAAATCAGGGTATTGCACCTAGTGGGGAGATTGAAAATGAAGGAACACCTGCTGTTCAAGGTGAAGGGAGAGTGGAGAATAATGCTTATGGGTGGTGGAGGTATATTTATGCCTTATCTTTTATGACATACCAGTAACAGGAGGACAGAAAACATTAGGAAGGGATCCTAAACATTTCCTGCTGCTGCTGTGGGGAGGGGTGGGACAAGGACACAAACATCTCTGCTGCTGCTGTGGGGAGGGGTGGGACAAGGACACATAAAAAGTCACAAAACTTTCCTACCATTTTGACAGAGGCTTATTGATTGATATTTGTTGGGGCTGGCTACAAACCCTTGAGTGTTTTCCTGGAGCTCCTGTATGGTTTGTCTGGCCATTTTCTGTTTTTGTTTAGCTTGTTTTGTTTTATGTTTCCTGTGGAAGAATGGCAGCCTGCAGTTTCCTAGTCTGCCATCTGCGTGGACGTTCTGGGTGTATTTTAAGAAAACTGTTTAACGCAGATTTATTAATGCTTTCTCATGCTGCGTAATATACTAAGTGCTGAGATGTTAAAGCAAATTTTGCCTAAAGCTCATAGTTCAGTCAGAATAACTCAAACAATCACTGATTTAATGTGATAAGAATAAGAGCAAATGAGTACAAAAGGGACAAGTAAGTTGTCTAGGGCCAGCCTTGGGAAAAAGGAAAGGCAATGTTTGAACATCAGCTGCTTTCCGTTTTCCCTGGCAACAGACTCTTAAATGATTAACCCAAGGTGTTTATTTCCATAACAGATGAGGAAATAAACATTATCATTTCCTGCTCATAGTCTGCGTTTTAATTTGGTAAACTGATGACCTTTTATCTTTAAGGGCCTGACGTGGGAAGTTCAATACGGAATTGGCTCTGCTTAAGATAGAGGATGAGCTCGAGATGGTCCTGATGTCAGGGAGGGGACTTCTGCCCACTTTTATCCCCACTAAAGTGCTGGAAGCAGGTATGTTGTTCAATTAAGATGCAAACTATAGGTGTTCCTTTTCACAATATTACACAGTGATACAGAGGTAAAATTACTGCTACTTTAATATCATACTACACGCCTGTAAAAAGATTCTTTGAAGGTAGTCCAGATCCCAGATGGCTGCCTTACAATACTATCAGAGAGAGAGGGTCAGGTATGCTGGTTCTTAAGTGTTTTTAATTCCAGCACTTTGAAGGCTAAGGCAGAAGGACTACCGGAGGCCAGGACTTCAAGAGATGGAGAAAAATTGGTCAAAGCTAATTGGATTACATAACATGAAAGAGCAGAAACATGCTAAGAGAGGATATCGAGTCTTCACAGCTATGTAAGTAATGCAGATATTAATTAGCTTTGATAGCCATTTTGACAATGTGTATATATATATTTTAAAGCATCATGTTATGCATGATAATATATATGGATTTTATGTCATTTTAAAAAAAGATAAGGAAAAACGTGTTCTGACTTTTTGAATGTTCATTTAACCAACAGCCAATAATTTTCTAGATATTTTTATCGAGGCCTGCTTTAACAAATAAGTGGGTATGTTTATAATACATCAGTTTATATTGCAGTGTTAACTGTGATGGTAACCCACTTGTTAGCGCGGTGTTCACTTTACTGTATAAAACTGGAATCTGCTTTAGGCATGTAAAGAGGCAGGAGAACCGTGAAATAGTGACAATGTTCGCCTACTTAAAGTAACTGTATAATGGCTAAACTTAGGAGTTCTTGAGCATGTTCTATATTCAGAGTGTTATTTCATATCAAAACATTTGAATGATAATTTGAAAATATCTTTTTCCCTTAGGATTTTGTTTGCTGAATTTTCATTGAAGCATATGCGTTTTTTTTTTTTTTTTTTGCTTTAATTCTTATATATACAAAACAGACTCACTTGATTGAATTCATTCTGAACTTGAACAGTCTCTTTGTTTCCTAGTCTTCTACTAGAAAAGTGGCATGAATTAAAATATTGTTAATAGGCCTGGAAGTCTACCTTCAGAGTTTATTCAGAGGCTAACTGGATGTAGCTAGCGGGTCACCTCAGGGTTCTGATATTAGTTCACTAACACGGTGGTGCTTGTATGCCTTCTAGTGTCGTATGAATAAAATCTCCTGAGTAACGGACCCTAGTTTTATATTTATGTTATAGGTGATGCGCAACTACAGGGTTTACACCAAGACAATGAAGACTGAAACCAAGAATGTTATTCTTAATCTGGAAATTTGGCTGATAACATTCTCTTAATAAAGTTTTACAGTTTTCTGCAAAGAATCCTTGCACGTTTTTGTTAAATTTATTTCTGGATCTTTAATACTCTTGAGAATTTTATCTTTTTTGAAACTTTAAATCCTGTGTTTGAGATGGTACATGGAGATAAAATGTTGGTACATTGATTTTCTAACAAACAATAATAAGAGAAGAGACAAGCTGAGAGACAACCTACACACTGTGAAGCCAGCTTTCATAGGGGGATGCCAACAGCTGTGCAGATAGAAAAGATACGTGGGCCAGGCATGTCCACCATGGCTTTCCACTCTCTCTTTAGCACATGCACAGTGAGAACGAAATGAGCAGTGTGGAGAAGCCTGCTGAGGACTTGCCTGCATAATAAAAGATTAGGTGGGGCCTGGGAGAGATTCACGCCCTTGTAGATGGTATCACTCTGAATTCCAACCGGTTGTTTGTACCTCATGTAGATGATCAGATAATGCTTCCCACTAGTTCATCCATAAAACTCCCCTGCATTTCACTGCATAAAACGTTTTTTCTGGGACTCTGTCTGTAGAAAGCTGTTCTCTTTGTTTCTTCATTAACTTTCTGCTCTAAACCTCACTTTTAGTTGTGCCCATGTCCTGATTTCCTTTGTCTGTGAGACCAAGAACTCCAGGTGTTACCTCCCAGACAACGAGGCCACTTCAATACTTGCGCTGTGGGTCTATGGTATATGGCTTTTATTACATTGAAATATGTTCCTTCTTTCCCCGGTGTTTTGAGGTCGAATGCGACGACATACCTGAGTTTTATTAAATGCTTTTCAGCATCAATGGAAATGATTATATGGTTTGTAACCTTCTTCCGTTGATGCGATTTATCACATCAAGCTGATTTGTATATGTTGAACCATCCTTCCATCCCAGAGATAAATCTACTTATCGCGATGATGATTCTAATGTATTGTTGAATTTGATTACACAGTCTGCTGAGAATTTCATCAATATTCATCAAAGTGGTTTTGCCTCTGTAGTTTTCTTTTTTTGATGTACTTTCTTGTCTGATTTTATCAGGGGTAACACTGGCTCTATAGAATGAGTTTTGAAACTATTCTCCTCCTCATTTTTCAAATAGTTTGAGCAGGATTGGTATTTAGTCCTTTTTTAAATGTTGGGTAGGGACTAATAGTAGCTACCGTTCTGTGTGTTCTTTACTGTAAGATTTTAATATGGTTTTGATCTCAAGTTAAGCTTTATTATTGGTCTGTTCTGTAGAAGCTATGGATTTCTTCATGATTCAATTTTGGGGAGGTTGTATGTGTCTAGGAATTAGTCCATTTTTTTCTAGCTTTTCCAATTTGTGGCATAGATTTATAGGAGCCAGTTATGATCCTTTGAATTTTGCAGCATCAGTTTTGTAATGTCTCCTTTCTATTTCTCTTTCTTTTTTTTTTTTCTCTTCTTTTTCTTTTTTTTTTTTTTTTTTTTCTGAGGACAGAGTCTCTTTTGCTGCTAGGCTGTGGAGGCAGGGTACAGTTTCAACTTCACCAGAACCTCCAACTCCAGGGTTCAAGCACCCTCTTGCCTCAGCCACCCTAGTAGATGGGATTACAGGTGCCTATGTCACTTCACTCACGCCTGGTTAATTTTTATTTAGTAGAGATGGAGTTTGCCATGTTGGCCAGGTTGGTCTTGAGGTCCTGGCCCAGGTGGTCCACCTTGCCTCAGCCTCCCAAATCATTTTTCATTTCTGATTAGCTTATTTGGGTTTCCTTTTTCTTTAGTTTGGCTTACGGTTTCTCACCTTGGTTAACTATTAAAAAAAAAACTTTGTATTATTGCTCTTTTGTAGGGTTTTTTTCTTTTTTTTTTCATAATTGAGATTTTATTGGTTGAGGATCAGTACAGACATTTCAATCTGTACACAATTCTTAACATATGTAATGAAATTCTAAAAAGCCACGTGTTGTCCTTTAAAGTTATTATATTTAGAAAATCCCATTGTCTCAGCCCAAAATCTCCTTAAGCTGATACAACTTCCAGCAAACCCCAGGATACACTAATGTGCAAAAATCATGCTAGCCTGCATACACCATAACAGACAAACAGAGAGCCAAATCGCGAATGAACTCCTGTCTACAATTGCTTCAAAGAGAAGCCAATAAATACCTAGGAATCCAACCTCTACAAGGGATGTAAAGACCCTCTGACAGAGAACTACAAACCACTGCTCGAAACAAAAGAGGACACAAACAAATGGAAGAACATACTGCTCATGGATAGAAGAATTATCGTGAAATGGGGCTATACTGTCGGCGTTATTTATTGATTCAATGCTATCCCCATCAAGTTACCACAACGAGTTTCTCTGAGAATTGGAAAAACTACTTTAAAGTTCATATGAACCAAAAAGAGCCTGCATCTCCAAGACAATCCTAAGTCAAAAGAACAAAGCTGAGGCATCGATGCCACTGACTTCAACTATACTACAAGGCTACAGTAACCAAAACAGCATGGTGGGCATTGGTACCAAACAGAGATATAAACCAATGGAACAGAACAGAGTCCTCAGAAATAATACCACACATCTACAGCCATCTGATCTTTGACAAACCTGAGAGAAACAAGAAATGGGGAAAGGCTTCCCTATGTAATAAATGGTGCTGGAAAAATTGGCTAGCCATAAGTAGAAAGCTGAAACTGGATCCTTTCCTTACTCCTTATAAGAAAATTAATTCAAGATGGATTAGAGACTTAAATGTTAGACCTAATACCATAAAAACCCTAGAGGAAAACCTAGGTAGTACCATTCAGGACATAGGCATGGGCAAAGACTTCATGTCTAAAACACCAAAAGCAACGGCACCAAAAGTCAAAATTGACAAATGGGATCTAATGAAACTAAAGAGCTTCTGCACAGCAAAAGAAACTACCAGCAGAGTGAACAGGCAACCTACAGAATGGGAGAAAATTTTGCAATCTACTCATCTGACAAAGGGCTAATATCCAGAACCTACAAAGAACTCAAACAAATTTACAAGAAAAAAACAAACAACCCCATCAAAAAGTGGACAAAGGATATGAACAGACATTTCTCAAAAGAACACATTCATACAGCCAACAGACACATGAAAAAATGCTCATCATCACTGGTCATCAGAGAAATGCAAATCAAAACCACAATGAGATACCATCTCACACCAGTTAGAATGGCGATCATTAAAAAGTCAGGAAACAACAGGTGCTGGAGAGGATGTGGAGAAATAGGAACACTTTCACACTGTTGGTGGGATTGTAAACTAGTTCAACCATTATGGAAAACAGTATGGTGATTCCTCAAGGATCTAGAACTAGATGTACCATATGACCCAACCATCCCATTACTGGGTATATACCCAAAGGATTATAAATCATGCTGCTATAAAGACACATGCACACATATGTTCATTGCGGCACTATTCACAATAGCAAAGACTTGGAATCAACCCAAATGTCCATCAGTGACAGACTGGATTAAGAAAATGTGGCACATATACACCATGGAATACTATGCAGCCATAAAAAAGGATGAGTTTGTGTCCTTTGTAGGGACATGGATGCAGCTGGAAACCATCATTCTTAGCAAACTATCACAAGAACAGAAAACCAAACACCGCATGTTCTCACTCATAGGTGGGAACTGAACAAGGAGATCACTTGGACTCGGGAAGGGGAACATCACACACCGGGGCCTATCATGGGGAGGGGGGAGGGGGGAGGGATTGCATTGGGAGTTATACCTGATGTAAATGACAAGTTGATGGTTGCTGACAAGTTGATGGGTGCAGCACAGCAAGATGGTACAAGTATACATATGTAACAAACCTGCACGTTATGCACATGTACCCTAGAACTTAAAGTATAATAATAATAATAATAAAATAAATAAAAATAAAGTTATTCCAGTGACTTTCCAGTTTAAAATTTGGAAGCAAATTTTCCTTAAGAGGCTATCAAATACCAGTATCTTCACATGTTGGTCAGCTGTTACATATGGCCCACCAGTTCACAACTGAATAGCATGTACACTACATATTCAAATCTGTAATCTTTCACAGCACAGCAACAAAGTTATTAGAAAAACAGGACTACCACAACCAAAGATGTTACAGAGTGCACACAATTCTGACAGGGAGCGCCATGAACAAGGAGTGGTTTTCTTTAGGAAACAATTCTACTAAAAAACATGAGAATAGAAGTAAAATAAAATGTTCAAGACATTAAATGCAGGACTGACTCCATATTGCCATTTAATATGCTTTGTATTATAGGACATAAAAACTATCCCCCCATCTATGGAATGTTAAGCCGACACCCGAGACAGTCAAAGCCTCCCATAATTCAATATCCTACACTATTTTCTGGTTGTACCAAAAAATAAACAACCAGCAAATGATTTCACCTCTTAAAAAAAAGCATTTACACTTAAAAAAAATGGGATGAGGTGGGATTCCCTCCTTCTTAAAAAATGTTTCTAGAGCTACTAAAAGACTTACATTTACAAAATAGTTGATAAAAATATTCCTCTGGATTGTACAAGAAGGGAGACAGGGACCACTGGTAAGACATGATACATAGGTCTCGGCTTCTTTCTCTCCTGCTTCATCAGAGGCTGGACTCTCCTCAGTTTTCGTTTCCCCGTTTTCTGCAGGTAAATCTTCTTAGTTTCTTCGTTAGCCTCTTTGGCCTGTTTTCCCTTTGCTCCCCTTTTCCCTTTTGTTTGCACTTTTTTGTCTGAAGATTTATCAGCTGACAACCGCGCTGATCTCCTCTTGGGCTCTTCCTTGGCGGCCCCTTCAGCGGAGCTGACCTTCCTCTTGGGCATCCTGGCGGCGGGGAAGGCGCGTGCCAGGTGCCTGTGGGCCACGGCGCGCCTAGAGCCTTCCCGAAACTGGGCTGCCTGGCCGCTGCCACTCCTCCCGCCACCCGAGCTGCTGACTGTAGGATTTTTTCGTTTCAATTTTGTTTATTTCTATTGGGATCTTTATTATTTCTTTTCTTCTAATTTTTGGTTTGGTTTACTCTTTCTTTGCAGCTCTTTAAGATGCATCATTAGATTGTTTATTTGAAGTTTTTAACCTGTTTTGTTGTAGGCACTTAATAGCTACAAACCTCTTTCTGAGTACTGCTTTTGCTGTATCTCATCGGTTTTGGTATGTTGTGTTTCCATTATCATTTGTTTCAATAAATTTTTTAAATTTCCTTCTTAGCTTCTTCATTGACCCATTATTCATTCAGGAGCAGATTATTTAGTTTTCATGTATTTGTATAGTTTCCAAAATACCTCTTGTTATTAATTTCTAGTTTTATGCCATTGTGGTCTGACAAGATCCATGATATTATTTCAGGTTTTTTTTTAATGTTTTGAGACCTAACATATGGTCTTGTCCTTGAGAATGATCCATGTGCTGAGGAAAAGAATGTGTATTCTGTGGCCGTTGGATGAAATGTTCTGTAAATATCTGTTAGATCCATGTGTCTGTAGTGCTGATTAACTCTGTTTTGTTGTTGTTGTTGTTGAGTTTCTGTTTGGCAGATCTGTCCAATACTGAATATGGGATGCTGAAGTCTCCATCTATTATTTTATTAGGGCCTATCTCTCTCTTTAGCTCTAATAGCTTTTGTTTTATATATCTGGGTGCTCAAGTGTTGGGTGCATATATATTTAAAATTGTTAATATCCTCCTGATGAATTGACTGCTTTATTATTACATAGTGACCTTTTAGTCTCTTCTCAAAGTTTTGCTTTGAAATCTTTTTTTTCTTATTTTTGTATCTTTTAAGTTCAGGCATACATGTGGTGCAGGTTTGTTATACAGGTGAACTTGTGTTATGGGGGTTTGTTGTAGAGATTATTTTGTTACCCAGGCATTAAACCTGGTACTCATGAGCTATTTTTCCTGATCCTCTCTCTCCTTCCATCCTCTGTTCTTCGGTAGGCCCCAGTGTCTGTTGTTCTCCTCTGTGTGTTGATTTTTTTCTCATTTTTAGCTCCCACTTATAAGCGACAACATGCAATATTTAGTTTTCTGTTCCTGCATTACTTTGCTAATGCAGCTCCATCCATGTTCTGGCCACGGAGATAATGTTATTCGTTTTTATGGCTGTATGCTATTCCATGGTATATATGTACTACATTTTCTTTATCCAGTCTACCATTGATGGGCTTTTTGGTTGATTCCATGTCTTTGGTATTGTGAATAGTGCTGCAGTGAACATATGCGTACATGTGTCTTTATGATAGAACAGTTTATATCCCTTCGGCTGTCTACCCAGTAATGGGATTGCTGGATCGAATGGTGGTTCTGTTTTTAGGTCTCTGGGGAATCAGCACACTGTTTCCCACAATGGTTGAACTAATGTACACTTCCACCAACAGTGAATAAGTGTTTCTTTTTTCTCAACAATGTCACCAGCATCTGTTATTTTATTTTATTTTATTTTTTACTTTTTAATAATAGGCATTCTGACTGGTGTGAGGCGATATCTCATTGTGGTTTGAATTGCACTTCTCCAATTATCAGTGGCTTTGAGTTTTATTTCATATGCTTGTTGGCCACATGCATGTCCTCTTTTGAAAGTGTTTCTTCATGTCCTTGGGCCACTTTTTAATGGTATTATTTTTTGTTTTGTTTTATTTTCTGAGACAGAGTCTTAGTCTGTTGCCCAGGCTGGAGTGCAGTCTCACGGTTTCTGCTCAATGCAACCTCTGCCTCCCAGTTTGAAGTGATTCTCCTGCCTCAGCCATCCTAGTATCTGGGATTACAGGCATGCACCACCATACCAAGCTAATTTTGTATTTTGTTGGTTTAAAGTCTGTTTTGTCCAAGAGTAGGATTGCAACCCCTGCTTTTTTATTTTTTTTGCTTTCCATTTTCTTGGTCAATATTCCTCCATCCCTTTATTTTGAGATTTTGAGCCTGTGTGTTCTTTGTACGTGAGATGGGTCTTCTGCATCTATCACACCAATGAGTCTTGACTTTTTATCTAGTGTATCAGTCTCTGTGTTTTTATTTGGTTGAATTTTTACGGAAGGTATATGCGTTTTTTGCTTTCCTCTTATACATATAAAATAGATTCACTTGATTTCATTCATTCTGAACTCGAACAGTCTTTTTCTTTCCTTTTTGTACTAGAAAATGTGGCGTGAATTAAAAATATTGTTAACTACCTTCAGAGTTTATTCAGAGGCTAACTGGATGTAAGCTAAAGGGTCACCCTTAGGGTTCTGATTTTACAGTATTTGTATACCTCTCGTGTCATCTAAATAAAAATCTGCTGAGTAACGTGTTCTAATTTTATATTTATATTATAGGTGATGGGCAACCTTAGGTTTAAACCAAGACAAATGAAGACTGAAACCAAGAATGTTGTTCTTATGCTGGAAATTTGACTGCTAACATTCTCTCAATAAAGTTTTACAGTTTTCTGCAAATAATTCTTTCACATTATTGTTAAATTTATTTCTAGATTTTTAATACTTCTGATAACTGTATATTTTATGAAAGTTTAAATCCTGTGCTTGAGATGGTATATAAAGATAAAATGTTGGTACATTAATTTTCTATCATAGATAGATAGGAAGCTGGAAACCTTCATAGGGGGATGCCAGCAGCTGCACAGATAGAAAAGGCCACATGGGGCCAGGCATGTCCACCATGAGGGTTCCACTTCCCTTTTTTTTAGCACATGCACAGTAAGAAAGAAATGAGCAACATGGAGTAACTTAGGCTGAGGACCTGCCTGTATAATAAAAGTTTAGGGTGGGGGCTGCCAGAGATTCATGCCCTATGCAGATGGTACACCTGGTCCTATCCGGTTGTTTGTACCCTATGTGGGTGATCAGATACAGCCTCCCCACTAGCTTATCTATAAAAACCCCTGCATTTCACTGCAGGATGGCAGCCCTTTTTTTGGGACCTCTCTCTGTAGCAGAAAGTTGTTTTCTTTCTTTCTCCTATTAAATTTCTGCTCTAAACCTCATTCTTTGTGTGTCCGTGTCCTTGATTTCCTTGTCTGTGAGACCAAGAACTCTGAGTGTTACCCCAGACCATGTGGCCATTTCAGTGCTAGCTGTGGATCTGTTGTATATGACTTCTATTACAGTGAAGCATGTTCTTTCTATTGCCAGTGTTTTGAGGGTTTATATCATGATGACAATGTTGAGTTTTGTTAAATGCTTTTTCAGCATCAATTGAAATGATCATATGTTTTTTTATTCTTCATTCTGTTGATATGATTTATCACATACATTAATTTGTGTATGTTGACTCATCCTTGTATCCCAGGGATAAATCTCACTTGGTCATGATGAATATTCTTTCTAATATATTGTTGAATTTGATTTGCTGGTATTTTGTTGAGGATTTCTGCATCATTGTTCATCAGTGATTTTTGGCTGGTAGCTTTCTTTTTTTGATGTGTCTTTGTCTGGTTTTGGTATGAGGGCAATACTGGCCTCATAGAATTAGTTTGAAAATATTCCATCTTCCTCTATTTTTCAAAATAGTTTGAGTAGGATTGGTATTGGTTTTTCTTTTAATGTTGGGTAGAATTCAGCAGTGAAGAAAAGTCCCAGACTTTTCTTTACTAGAAGACTTTTATTATGGCTTTGATGTTGTTACTTGTTATTGGTCTGTTCAGGTTATGGTTTCTTCCTGCTTCAGTCTTGAGAGGTTGTAGGTATCTAGGAATTAGTCCATTTGGTCTAGATTTTTCAATTTATAGGCATATATTTGCTCATAGGAGCCAGTAATGATCCTTTGACTTTCTGCAGCATCAGTTTTAACGTCTCCTTGTTCATTTCTTTTTTCTTTTTTCTTTTTTTTTTTCACAGAATTGCGCTCTGTCGCCTAGGCTGGAGTGCAGTGGTGCAGTCTTAAGCTCACTAGAACCTCCATTTCCTGGGATCAAGCAATTTTCTTGCCTCAGCCACCCTAGTAGCTGGGCTTACATGCACCTGCCACCACACCTGGCTAATTTTTGTATTTTTAGTAGAGATGGGGTTTTGTCATGTTGACCAGCCTGGTCTTGAGCTCCTGGCCTCAAGTGATCTGCCTGCCTCAGCCTCCCAAATAGTTTTTTTATTTCTGATTTTATTTATTTGGATTTTCTCTTTTTTTCTTAGTCTGGCTAATGGTTTGTCAATTTTGGTTATTAAAAAACAACTTTTGTTTTATTGCTCTTTTCTAGTTTTTTTTTCATTTCAATTTCTTTTATTTCTGCTCTGCTCTTTATTCTTCTACTAATTTTTGGTTTGGCTTGCTCTTTCTTTGCAGCTCTTTAAGATGCATAATTAGATTATTTGAAGTTTTTGCTTTTTTTGATGTTGGCACTTACAGCTATAAACCTCTTTCTTAGTACTGCTTTTGCTGTATCCCATAGGTTTTGGTATGTTGTGTTTCCATTATCATTTGTTTCAAGAAATTTTTAAATTTCCTTCTTAACTTCTTCATTGACCCATTAATCATTCAGAAGCAGACTGTTGAGTTTTCATGTATTTGTATAGTTTCCAAAATTTCTCTTGTTACTCATTTCTAGTTTTATTCCATTGTAGTCTGACAAGAAGCTTGATATTTCAATTTTTAAAATGTTTTGTGACCTAACATATGGTCTGTCCCTGAGAATGATCCATGTGCTGAGGAAAAGAATGTGTATTCTGTAGCTGTTGGATGAAATGTTCTGTAAATATCTGTTAGATCCATGTGGTCTATAGTGCAGATTAAGTCTGGTTTTTTGTTGTCGTTGTTGAGTTTCTGTCTGGAAGATCTGTCCAATGCTGAATGTGGGGTGCTGAAGTCTCTATTATTGTATTGCAGCCTATCTCTCTCTTTAGCTCTAATAGTATTTGTTTTATATATCTGGGTGCTCCAGTGTTGGGTGCATATATATTTAAAATTGTTACATTCTTTTGATG